AATATGATACTTATATATTATATTAAGAAAACTAATATAGTAAATAAAAAAGTTATTTAAAATTAGAATAATAAAGATTTTTTTTTTTTTCTAATCTATGTGTATAAATGTGCAAATAACTATTGTCTATCACCTCATACACATAAAATTAATTAGAATAAAAAACTAACAAGCGTTTAACAACTCAGTTTGATTACATCGATAAGTGTATTTTTAGAAGGTTTATATTTAGTTATATTAATTATATTATTTTTGTTTATTATATTTATTAGTACGTATCACAACTTAGTTATTATTCATATTATTTCTTATATTTAATATTTTTTAAAACATTATTATCTTGTTCTTTCACATGTTCTTAACTGTAGATTTGTCAAAAAAGACATAATATAAAGTATAGAATTTTTTTGATCATCTGCCTCATTATATATCAAATATTTGTATATCCTATATTAGATTATATTTAATTACAATTTTTAATTAATATTTTAATTAAATATTTACAATTCCTAAATTCATTAACGATATTGTCGAGTCAACTTTTGTTCATTAAATTTTTTAAAATATATTATTTTCATTGATTTGCTTATGTTGAATTGAGAAAAGTTATGTTTTTTAATTATATATAGGGATGATATAAGATTTCTTATATTTTTTATGTAGTATTTATTGAGTAATTGTGTTTACAATTTTTCTATTAAAAATATATTAAACATGTGAATTTTTTAGTTCTTATATTTATTTATTTTTTAAGAAATCACTCATTATTTTATCCCAAGATTACCTATTAATTTACCAATTGAGTTACATTTCTTACATATTAAATATTATGTAATTAAAATATTTCTTGTTTTATCTGTTCAATATGATACTTATATATTATACTCCCTCCTATTTTTTTAAATGTCATTATAGCTTTATCAACTATTTGTCAAATAAATGTCATTTTGGATCTTTTCTACATATTTTTCCATTATTACCCTCATTTAGCTAATAAATACATTGCGTCTTTTCATATTTACTCTTCAATTTTTTCTCAAAACATTCATCTCTCTCTTCATTAAATAGAGTTATTATTGAAAAAAAAAATATTCTTAATTAATGTGAAAATTTTCAAAACGACATATATTAAAAATAGGAGGTAGTATTAAAAAAACTAATACAGTAAATAAAAAAGTTATTTAAAATTAGAATAATAATTTTTTTTTCTAATCTACATGTATAAATGTACAAATAACTATTGTCTATCAACTCAAATTTACACATAAAATTAATAAGAAACAAAAACTAACAAGCGTTTAACAACTCAGTTCGATTACATCGATAAGTATATTTTAAGAAGGTTTATATTTATTTATATTAATTATATTATTTTTCTTTATTAGTTTCTTTTATATTTATTAGTACGTGTCACAACTTAGTTATTATTCATAATATTTCTTATATTTAATATTTTTTTAAAACTTTATAATCTTGTTCTTTCACATGTTTTTAACTGTAGATTTGTCATAAAAGACATAATATAAAGTATAGAATCTTTTCGATCATCTGCCTCATTATATATCAAATATTTATATATCCTATATTAGATTATATTTAATTACAATTTTTAATTAATATTTTAATTAAATATTTACAATTCATAAATTCATTAATAATATTGTCGAGTCAACTTTTGTTCATAAAAGTTTCAAAAATATATTATTTTCATTGATTTGCTTATGTTGAATTGAGAAAAGTTATGTTTTCTTTTTTTTTAATTATATATAGGGAGGATATAAGATATGATAACATTAGTATGTTACCAATTTGCCATTAAAAACATGTGAAAGTAAGGGATTTTTAGGTAGTTCATTTTTTAATTAAAAATATAAATAAAATATGATGTGTATTAGTGTATTACTAATTTGTCATTAAATTTATATCAAAGTAAGGGTTTTTTTGGCATTATGAAATTTTACAAAGACACTCCTCCTTTTAAATTAGTATAGATTTATAGCAAATATAATCCCTTTTATGGTTTAATTTTTATCAGTATGGGATGCTAATCTCTTGGACTTCGATGACTAGTATTGAAGATTTTATTAAGGTAAATGATCAATTTATATTTTAGTTTTGGCATTGAAACATTATATTGAATTTTCTGAATATAGAAACATTTGTCTTTATTTTCTTCAACAGCACAACTGACTTCCTCATGGCAACCCTTGCCAGAGCCCTGTGTTCAAAGGAATTTTAGTTTTGTGTAAACGCAACTGAGTATGAAGTACGAACAATAATCAGAAGGTGTCGAGTTCTATTACAAAGCTCGGAGTCTACTCATAACCTGGCTCCCGAGTTGATTAGCCTAGCTTAGATCAGCCAATGGGTTATCAAAGAGATCATAACGAACTTTGCCCGTATTATCCTCCTCCTCACAGCATCGTTTATCCTTCTCATCGGTATAATAATGATCTTCACTTGACAAGTCAGAACATCGATAAACTCTGTAAAGTTCTTAGGAAGCATAACCTGGAGTAAATACGCCACCGACACTTACCCGTAAGGATCATAGATGTTTTCATATACTGGTTCTTATATTATTACTAAGCTGTAGTAATATCGGTGTTCTCACTGATTTAAACACTTTTTTCTTACGCCGTTACACTTTTCCTTTCTATCGAATTAATATATGAAAAGCCAAATAATTTTACATAATAAACATCAAGGCTGCATACACAGTATGTATCGTATTCATGTTCACATTGCATATACATTCAGTTCTCACACTTGCACAGAAGCCTATACACAAATCCAAATCTTCACGAGAAAATCATGCAGAAGAAAAATAATGATAAATGATACAAATAATAATGCTGATGAAGAAGAATTTATTTCACAACCATGCAATCCTTGGAACTTCTCAACTTCTCACACACAGTACAAGATGCAGCTCTACTCGAGTTTTTAGCTTTATGAACGCTGGAGCAAGTGTCCTAAGTAGGTCTCTACAGATGTTAAGCCGCAAAATTGCTTAACCACAGGTAAAGTGGCGGGTACATCAAGTCGAAAAGCCAAGTCGGTCCCTTGGATTTCTCCCCAAGTTTTGAGTTGTTTTCGAGCTTCAACAATGGCTGCTCGTGTTGCACAATGGACTGATACAGCCAGAAGCAATGGGGGTTCGCCAGAAGCTGCCAATAAAAAAAAGAAGAAGAAAGATAGAAAGAGAAAGAACAAAAAAATTATTATAATTGCCCCCCACAGGTAAAGATGCAGTCTTCTTCATATTGCAAAAGTAAACTAAAGTTTTTTTCTCCTCTCATGCTTTCATAAGCAAAAGATCTCAAAAATCCTCCTTCAAATCTGTAAAAATTATTACAATTGGTCCCCCACTTTGCACACTAAATTAAACCTCAATGGTATCTCTTTTATGTATAAAGAACAAAACTTGAAACGAAATTCACAGATAGTATGCATTTAAAATACATTTATTAGCGCCTAAAGATGTATAGAACGTACCTTTGGACGAGAGAACACGTTTTTGGTGGTGTCCGCTGTTGAGCACCTCTACATTAAATTGTTTAGGTATGTTGTCGAGAGTCGGGACCCTGTATGTCCACGTGCTGTCTGTAATCATCAACCCGTCATCATTTGCCAAATACTCTTCTAGCATAAAAAATCCGAGGCCTTGCACAAAAGCACCTTCAATCTGCAAAAGTCACAAATGCAGTATCAATTTTATCAGCCAATGAGAGTACTCAAATGGGTCCTGAATATATTAATTACGATCAAATGACAAGGGCAAATACAATTGGAAATCTTCGTCTCTTAAACGATTTAAGAACAAAAGACGGCTCCTGCAATTTTAACCATCTGCAAAACTATCATCTAGGTATCTAATATCAAAATTAGTAAACAGTTGATGAGATATATAGTAGAAACACGAGTGTCAAGGAAGGTTTTTTGTAGCATGGAGATTAACTGATTTTTATTTTTCAGTGAATATTTCAGGTTAAACAAGAAGGAAATTAGTTATAAGTATCCTTTTCCTAATTATACCTGTCCCAAATCTACAGCTGGATTCATGCTCTGGCCGCAATCATAAATCAGATCAGTTCTCAATATTGTTGTTTCTCCTGTAAGAAGATTAACCTCAACCTGAAAATAAATTAAAAAAAAAAAAAAAAAAAA